GACAGGTAGTATTAGAGAAGGCAGAGGGAAATTGGGGCCCTCATACACTGCTGGGAGGAATGTAAACTGGCACAGCCACTTTGTGAAAAAGTTTGGCAGTTTCTCACATGTTAAACATAGAGTTGTACTATGACCCAACAATTCTACTCTTAGAAATAAAACTTATACATGAGTGTTTATAACAACATTCTTCATAATAGCCAAAAAGTAGAAACAACCTAAATGCCTATCAAATACTCATCAGGTAATAATAAATAGACAAACATGATGTATCCATACAATAGAATATTATTCAGTCATAAAAAGGCATACAGTATTGACACATGCTATAGCATCAGTGAACCTTAAAAATATGTTCTGTGAAATAAGCCAGTCACAAAAGATCAAATATTGTATAATTCTATGTATAGGATATATCTTAAACAGACAATTTTATAAACAGAAAGTAGGTTCAGCAGTGGTTAGGGCTGGAGGGTAAGTAAGAAACAGAGAGCAGGGTTTTCTTTTGGGGTGATGCAAATACCACAGAATTGATTGTGCTGATGGTTGCACAATTTTGTGAATAGCCTAAAAACCATAGAATTGAAGAAATTTGTGGATTATATCTCAATAAAGCTATTACAAAATGTCATACAGGCAACATTTTGTATTAGAAGTTAAAACTGAATCCAAACTGTAGCACCATGACTTGAAAGCCATTGTTGCATAGAGATCTATCATCCAGAAGATGAATGGACAGTAAGAATAAAGCAGTTTCAATCTGTCAGCCCACAATTGGTAGAGTCTTTCTTAGAGTTCTGTGTCTAGTTTTAATTTCTACTCTTTAATAAGGACGTGGAAAAATTGGAGAAAATTCTAACAAGTACACAATAGTGAGGCTAAATTATTAGACACTAAAGCTTAAGAAAAACTATGAGAGGGATCAAGATGGCAGAGGAGTGAGTGGAAGTCACACTGTCCTCCTTCCAGGACCAATTCAGAATTACAACTAAATAGTGGAGAAATCATTTGGAACAAACAACTGAACAATAGCAAGAGAAGAGCCTTGTAACCTCAGAGGCAGAAGAATCAGCTTTAGCACAACATAACTGGTAAGGAATGCAGTAAAGACTCAAGAAGGTGGGTGGGGTGCCCAAGGGCAGCAGCATCAGAAGGATATTAAAAGGGCCAGTTGGATCCCCCTGAAAAGAGTGGGGTCTAAACCAAAAGCGGGAATCTCCACCCTACAGCACTAGAGCCCAAAAAGTACACAGAAAACAACCAGCTGCGAAAAGCAGCAGGGTTTCTCTCCTCCAGAGACAGGTGGCTGGAGATGCAGAGAGCCATTTAAAGGGCCAACGCATAAATTTTTATTTGTAGCCACTTACCCTGGTCTCTGGCAAAGGTGGTGGCAAAGTGGGCTAGAGATGCCTGAGGAGAGACTGGGGAAGGAGGCTTTGGGGAGAGAACAGAGAGAGTAGCTGGTGGGATCTCGGTGCCGATTCCTTCCCCATATGGCAGCAGCCATCTTTCTCAGGCAGAGACCACTGCCTTGAGCGGCAACAGCATGAGAGGACCCAATAACACTACCCCCTGGAGGGACTCTGCCCCACCCTGAGTTGTCTAAGCTGGCCTGCTGAGAGCAGAGTGACTACATTAATAGCTGAAGGAGACAGCCACAGACAGTAGATTCCTGGAAGTCTCGAACAGACTGCCTAAGGTCAGACAGGGACAATATCTGACATCATAAAAGGCAGATCCAGAAAGTAAAAACAGACGTCTCCTACCATAGAAATTCACACCACAAAGTCAGGAAATCAAGACAAATCAATTTAAGAAGCAGAAGCAAAAAAAGAAGAGTCTCATAAATAATGGGAAGACAAAGAAATACCCCTGACTCGAAAGGAAAGGAGGAATCCCCAGAAAGAGAACTAAATGAAATAGAGGCAAGTAAACTATCAGATATTGAGTTCCAAACAACGGTTCTAAGGAAGCTCAGTGAGCTCAGTGATAACTACAAAAAAACTACAGGGAAACTACGAGGAACTTACTGCAAACTATCTCAGCATGAAAAATGACATAGAACCTATCAATAAGAGACAAGAGGAAATGAAGAATACAATTTCTGAATCGAAGAACACAGTAGAAGGACTCAAAAACAGGCTAGATGAAGCAGAGGATCAAATAAGCAAGCTGGAGTACAAGTTAGAAAAAAGCTCTCAGAAAGAGCAAGAAAATGAAAAAAAGACTCAAAAAGAATGAAGAGGCATTTAGGGAAATGCAGGACAACCTGAAACGAAATAATATCTGTATAATAGGAATACCAGAAGGTGAAGAAGAAGAGCAAGGGATAGAGAACCTGATTTAAAATGTAATAATATGGAAAACTTCCCTAATTTGAGGAGAGAAAGTCACACAAGTCCAGGAAGCACAGAGGGTCCCACTCATGAGGAACCCAATGAGGCCTACTCCAAGACACGTCATCATTAAAATGGAAAATATCAAAGACAAACAGAGAATTCTAAAGGCAGTAAGGGAGAAACAGGTAGTAACATGTAAGGGAACTCTGATATAGCTGGCAGCTGACTTCTCAACAGAAACACTGCAAGCCAGAAGGGAGTGACCAGACATATTCCAAGTCATGAAAAGCAAAGAGCTGCAACCAAGACTGCTCTACCCAGCAAGGCTCTCAGTTAAAATGGAAGGTGAAATAAGGGGTTCCCCAGACAAAAGAAGGCTAAAAGAATACACCTCCACCAAACCAGCACTGCAAAATATGCTAAAGGGACTGCTTTATGAAGAAGAAAAAGAGTATATGAATACCCAGTTCCTTTCACAGTTGCCAATACTAGCTATTACCAATATTTTTAATATGTATTAATCTTATTATGACAATGATGTATTATTTTAATTGTTCCTTTACTATTTGTTGAAACTAAACCTGTTTTTGTATATTTCTTACCTATTTCTATTATTTTTAAAAAGCTTTAAATGACTTTTTCGTATTCATTATTCATTTATTGATTAAAGATTTGTAGAATTTTTCCCTAAAAGAAAAACACAAAAAACCCTCACTATTAACCCTTTTTTAGATGTATGGCAAATACTTTCCCATCCTATTACTTGTCTTTTAACATTTTTTATATATATATTATTATATAGTCTTAAATGTTTAATATAGTTATATTGTCAATGTTTTAGTTTATAGCTCCTGGGTTTGAATATTTTACTTCAGGGTAAGAAAAATATTCAGGGTATATTTATAAAGTATACAGTTAAGTATAATTGGAATAAATTCAAACCCAATTATATTACACATTGTTCTGATAATGAGAGTAATTATTTATAAACAGCTTTAATTATCTAGAGACATTTAACATTAGGAAGTATAGATACTTCTAAGAGTCCAAAGAACATGAAAAATATATAAGCCTTTTATATATAAAAATATGCTACAAAAGAATATATATTAAATCATTACAATTAGAGAAACTACCTAGCAAAAAGGCAAGAAATATAACAAGTTTAATAGTTCTTATTAATATGGTGATCAATGCATGTTGTCATTTTTTTTGTATTTTGCACATTTCCCATAATTTACTATATATAACCATATATAACCAACAAATAAAAATTTAAAAAATATATAGAATACATACAGTCTGTCTTAGTTTAGGTGTATGGGTCCTCTCTAGATATTTTCACATTTTAATCCCTTTTTTCCACAGCCAGGAAATGTCTAGCCCAGGGGCAAAAAGATGGTGTTAACATCTTCACTTCACTAGACTATTTTTTTTCTGATTTACTTGATTTAAGTGATAGTATTACTGTAACTTATTTTGGATTTTTTTTTTTTTTACCAAATATACCTAACAAAGTATATTTGCTTAAATAAGGTGCAGTTTTAATGACAAGTCTTTATTTTTTATTTTATTAGATGATCATACTACAGGTATTTTAAATAGCAAACTATTTTACAAAGCATACTTTACGCCACCCATATTGTTTAAGTATAAAGAATATATAAAGAGGAAACGTAAACTGACTCAGGATGCTGTGGTTTAAATATATCTTACAATGCCTATGGCTCACGTTTCCTCTGCAGTTGTCAAAGTTATAGCTTAGCAAGTATTTACTGAGAGATTACCATGAGCAATTTTCTTTTCAGAGTTTCAAAATCATTATATACCTACATAGCAGACACATAAAAGAATGTTTGCAAATTATTCTAAGCTAATAGTTCACAGTTCTCATTTGTAGATTCCCAGGTAAGCAAGCTTGCTGGAAAATAAACACACAATCATAGGTGTGCTCTGGCTTTTTGTATTCCTTTTTTCTTTTGGTCTATGGTAACTTTCATCAAGTCTTACTTGAGTTTTCTACATGGATTTTAAATTTGATGTCATATTAATGACTATTTAATATTTTTTACATAATAGACCCCCCTATTTTTAGAGCTGCAATCTCCAAGTTATTCAGATTTCTGGGCTCACCTCAGCCCATGTCTCTGGGATAGGACCCTTACATGTATTTGTTTTAAAAGCTCCCCACCGTAAAATCACCCAGGTTCAGATCACTACATTAAAGGGCTTTGCTCATCTGCCTTGGCCATAGGACAGCTGTCTTGAATCCTTGACTACGCAATCTGTGGGAAGCTGTTTAAAAAACTCGGATGACTTGGCTCCATCCAAAGCCAGTTATATTAATATATTGGAGTGACCTGGATTTTTAGTGTTTTATTTTTTCTTTTAAGTGCACTACAGATGATTTATAAGGTAAAGTGAGATTGGCTAATTACTACACTGGCCTTTGAGTAGCTTGTGACCAGGGACTCGGCATTGTAATGTTTTCACTTTCGCCATCTAATCTGGTGCCCTGTATTAGTTGTTCGATGAAGGCTTGTCCAGTGGATGATGGACCAGACATCCCCTATTATATTTGCCCATGCCTGTACCCTGAGTGACATTAAGTTGCATCTAGTTCCAGATTTAGTCATGTTGGTCTTCATTTTCTTAGCACAGGTGCAGCAGTGAACAGCAGTGAGAGTCTCCCTCCATCCTCGTCCGTCAATGACATCTCCTCCATGTCCACCGACCAGACCCTGGCATCTGACACTGACAGCAGCCTGGAAGCCTCGGCAGGACCCCTGGGTTGTTGCAGGTGACTAGCCGCCTGCCTGCGAAACCCAGCGTTCTTCAGGAGATGATGTGATGGAACACACACACACTCACAGATACTCACGCACACACACAAATGCAGACACGCAATGACAAGAAAACAGCAAGGAAGAGAAACCAAGCCTAAAATTGAAACAAATCTTTCAGCCTGCTTCTTCTCCAGAGTTCTGTATTGCAGCTAAGCCAAATGTATATCTAACGTAGTTGCTCTTGCTTTGGTCTTCTTCCAATGATGCTTACTACAGAAAGAAATCAAACACAATTAGAGAAGCCTTTTCCATAAAGTGTAATTTTAATGGCTGCAAAACCAGCGACCTGTAACTGCCCTTTCAAATGGCATGACAAGGTGTGCAATGGCCCCAACCAGCATGTGTGTGTCTCTATCTTGCATCTACCTGCTCCTTTTGGCCTAGTCAGATGGATGTAGATACAGATCCGCATGTGTCTGTATTCATACAGCACTGCTAACTTAGAGATGCTACTGTCAGTGTCCTCAGGGCTCTACAAGACATCATGCACTGGGGTACTACATGGTCCATTTCATGTGATCTACTACTCTGACATAAACCCATCTGTGATATATTGCCAGTATATAAGCTGTTTAGTTTGTTAATTGATTAAGCTGTATGTCTTATAAGAAAACATGTAAAGAGGGGAAATGGGGGGAGTGAGCTCTCTCGGACCCTTGAAGATGTAGCTTCCAAATTTGAATTGATTAAATGGCACCTGTACACCAATTTGTAGAAAGAGCATATGTGATACTTATGTATATGTGGGGGTGGGAGGGGTAACAGTTTCCAGGCACTGAATGGTTTGGCCTTTAAAAGGAAGGTGGGAATAAAAGCTGAGGGTCTTTTCTCTGACAGTGTGTGAGTAGGATTAGCTATAGTAGTGTTGCAGTAAGAAGACCTAGAGGAGATTATTGCTCAGACACTAGGAGACACTGACATCCATATATTGGAGAATAGACCCCATTTGTAATTTACACATTATGTGTCATAACTGGACAGAGAACAGCAGGTGGCAAGGCAGGGCTGTTGTGCTTGCATCTGATGGTGAGAATTGCTCCCTGAAACAGAGCAGGAAGCCTCTGCATGATGTCTTTAACAGAAAATGAGCCTCCTTAGACTATCTTCACATTGTGGGTTGTGTTTTCCATGAGTGGACTGCTTCCCAGGTTTATACTCTGTCAAGGCTTTACTTTGAGAAGAAATGTTACTTGCCTCATCTGGAATTTTAAAAAATTACTTTAAAAAACCCCAAAGCACAGGGTGATCCTCAGGTTAACATTTGAAAACATTTTCACAGACGTTATTATTTCTCAGGAGTTTCCCTGACTCCTTACTATGGCTAATGTTTCATATTTATTTATTTTCATAACTTTGAACCATCCAAGAAGGGCTGATCACTTGTTTAGTACCACAGTCTATGCGACAGCAATAACTCTGACCATAAGTTAGTGCCGCTAAACAGCTTTAGCAATATGAGTTTGTCTTAAAAGCCATAAAGCATTTATATCAATGTTTAGCAAAATCCCCTGAATTTAGCTCACATTCAATGAAAGTGCTTTCCAGAGCACCTAAGGAGGTGCTGTGAAACATCTTGATTATATACACAAGACAATACCAGGGTGACTTCTCAGCAATACTACGGACTGGGTTGAGGCTTCCTTTCTTATTCATTTTGGTGAACTGTCATCCGTCACAGCTACTTGCCCTCTGACCATTTTGGTGTTGCCAATATGGCGATATTCACCTGAAGAAGAAGTGAGATGCATGAAATAGGTGGGTGTCCAATGTGATATGGCTGTAAAATGGAATCTCTTAAAAAATAGAGCAAACAAGAATGCCAGTGCCCTGAAAACTGCCTTAAATTTAACAATAAGGGAGCTTTGTCTCTTTCCAAGCAACCGAGTCGACCCCCACAGTAACTGTGCGAGCAGTGCTGCCATTTACAGGATTGCTTCATGCAGTAGGATTCAGGACAAGAGGTCGCTTGTTTAAAATGGGGAGAAAAAAAATTAGACTGCAGGTTTTCCCCTAGAATAGAAGTGGCCCAGTTTCTGGGTCTTGATGCCGTTGTTTTTGGTTAATATTGCAGATAACCTGATTTTTGTAAAGCTCTCTCACTTTTCCTCTGTCACACTCCCCCACCCCAATTCCTCAAAAAACCAAAAATTTTTCTTCTTTCTACCCATCATTCTTTACTTGCCTTCTTTCTCTGTGTTCTTCTCTTGCTTCACTTGTGGCCTCTCTGCTCCTGACTTCCTAGCACTTACAATTAAGTACAGAGAGCAGGCAGCTCTTTGAAAGAAAGTGCAAAGGGAACAAAATGGCATCAAAGACAGAAGGAAATCTCCGGTCGGCATCTTAGAAGTATTTGACAATTATACTCTCTCTTATGTGTGCAAAAGTGGTGATTTTTTTCTTTTGCTCGGATTAAACCAGGCAAGAACTAGGTAATGTTTCTCTCCTGCTATTACTACCCTCCCTAATCTTTACTAGTCTGACCTCCCTGTTGCCTGGCTCTCAGGAGCCAATTACCTTTGGCCACAACTCCCCATGGACAAGCAAAAATGGAACAAATCCCTCAGTTTGAAATGTCATGTGCAAATAGAGGTAAGAGTTTGACTTCTTGACTGCTGATAGAATTAATTTCACTAGGTTATCAAAGCAAGATAGGTGATGGAACAACAAAGCCCACCAACCCTTTACAATCTTGAGTGTATATCTTCAGGAGGTGATTATGTTATTGTCAAATTTACAAAGTATATTATGTTCTGCATTGGGCACTTTTTCCCTGAAGAAAATTCTATATAGTCACCTGTAATTTCCAAAGGACTCTTGCTTTTCAGGCAGGGAAGTATCAAGTCACCTGGACTATATTTCTGAAGAAGTGAAGGTCCTGTCTGTTGTTGGGTTTCATTTTAGAATATGTGGTTGGCACCTGAGAGACCTAACCTTCTGTCACTTCCTTCAGGGTCTTGGTTGTGCAGTGATCCTTAGTGAAATATTTTGTTTTATTTTGTAAGTAGGATGGCTATGTGCCCACAGGCAAGAGAAATTAAATTGTTGGGAGAGTTTGGCAAAATCCACCACCATACTGATGATATTTTTATATGAATTCTGTGAGACTGTTCATTTTTTTAGAAAAGGTATGTTGTCCTTACAACCAAATTTCTTCTTGTACAATAAGAACTGATAGTGATCTTGCATCTTCAAGAATCTGATGACTGAGCTTTGTAGGAATGTATACCGCAGGTGGACCAACGCCTGGCCAATCCTTTCCAGTTGGAGTGAGCCATTTAACTGAAGGCCAAGGAAAAGAATTGTTGTCCTCAATCTGTTACCATTATCAGAAAAATATTACTTAAGGATATTGAAAACAGCTTACTGGTAAATTAAAAAAAAAATAGACCTTGACAAATGGAATAAGTGGGATAAAAATAAATAAACCTTTTTAGGACCTAGGGTAAGGGAGGATGTGGGTAGAAGCAAACTTCATTTTTAAATTTTAAATACTCATTGCAAAATCTAAACTATACAAAGCATATTTCTTTTTAATTCTTTATATATGGAAATCTAAATCTTAAAAGCAGTTCATTCTATTAAGAATGTTTTTGCCAGCTTTGTTGAAAAATTTATGTTCTACAGCTCAGAGAACTGAATAAAATTACTCCAGGATTCTTTGATCCCTATCACTTTGGGTCTAAAGATGAATCCCACTCCCCTCTCACAATCCTCCCCAACCCCTTGCCCCCGCAGTTATAAATTGTGAGAATCTAACATTTTCCACAGATATCATTAAACCATCAAGAAAACTCCTTCCTTAAAAAACAACAAACAAGGTACAATGTAAATAGTTATATTAGTTATTTTCCATGTGATTAAAATATAAGATTCTGTTATTTCTTTGGGCACTTAGAAAGTCTGTTCACTGTCTGAAATGGTTTACTTTGACCCATTTCTTTGGTCAGCCAAGCTGAAATGGAAGGCCTGTGTTTATATGTGAACTTCTGTGTGTCTAACTTTTGATTCTGTGGGACCAATGGCCAGTATGTTCTAATGGAAGCAAATCTCCCAAACCTTATTTAGCATTAAACTGTTCACCTTGCCATATCTATCTTACAGCAGCACCTAACTTGCACCTGCCTGTTATTCTGCATGATTGGACTCCCAAGACTATTCTAATGATGAGAATTGTCCTGTACTGGATTTAAAGCACACGCACATCCACACACACCTCACCCTCACAGTTCTAGATCAGCCCAAGAAGGTGAAATCATGTGTGTCCAGTTTCTTTGTAAGGTCTTAGTGGCGAGAACTAGAAGTTAGCCTAATGGATCAATGTAATCTCGATGATATTTAATAAGGTTTGAAATTATTTAATTCATTTCTGTGTTCTTTCTCACTCTCTTTTATTTCTACTGTTTTTCTTTATTTTCAAAATGTCAGTGGAACAAGAGGGAAGATGGGGGAGAACTTTGGCTTTTTTGGATTCTTTAGAGGTGGATACTGAGTCAGTACATTGTGATTTCTGTTTCTAATGAATTATTAAAAAAATGCAAATCTGCTTCCCTAAACATAAAACCAAGCCTAAACCCAGATATTGTTGAAGTTTGCCTGTTGATAATGGTGGTTGTGCTGCTCATTGTCCTGGGTTTCATGTCTTGACAGTAGCTCTGAAACATCTTACATGGTTTCATAGTGTGATCCAACTGTGCCAGGGGATAAGTAGGAAATGAGGAATGACTTCCTTTCCCTCTATGGGTAAGGAATATATAATGTGTATATCATCATGCAGAAAGCCGTGCTTTCATTTGGGATAAAAATGACCTTCATTTCTGTTTGGGGAATCCAGTTGTGTGTCTGTAGTTCAGTAAGTTTCCTTAAATGCATAAAATCAGTGAAGGGGAAAAATCATTTTCTGAGAGCATTATAGGTGAGTAGAATAAGGTTAAATATCTTTGGTTAATTTATCAGAATTTTTAATCAGTTCAATTATTACCCAAGAGAGAAAGGAATGGTAAATAACCTTAATATCTCAAACTCTATGGTGAATTAACAATATATAATTTTGTGGCTTGATAAGGAGGTCACTGAACCTGTGTTAATTTAGCTGGAAGTATCTGAACAATGTAAACGAATGGCCCCTCTATTTCTGTAAATAAAACATTTTACTTAATCAATTAACTAAGAAAACCCGGAATATAAACATACCTAGTCTTTTGAGATAACAATGTATCCTTCTATTTATAAGGAAAGTAGAAACCAAAGCCTTTTGATATCTCTGGTGTAGATTCTATTCTGATTAAAACCACAGATCTTTATTCTCTTAATAAAAAAAGTTTAACACTGGTCAAGTAAAGGTACCTGAAAAGATCCACAATATTAAGAAGGAAAATTGAATTCCACACTATTACACATGGAGAAAAAGTGTCAGAAGGAATTATTGATGCATACCATGTACCACAAAACATCACTAAATATTTGGGTAATATTAACTCCTTTTGCCATGAGGAAAAGAAAGGAGTCTTGAAAACTACCTTTCTTGTAGCTACTTAGGTAACAACCAATCTAGAAGGATATTCCATTTGCTTAATAACTTCATTGGGTTGTATGGAAAGTGGCAGGTTTTGACATTACCAATTCTTCGGAATGGTGTTTTGTAGTTGTAATGTGCCTTTCCTCCAAGGATTTTGAAAGGCATGCCTGGAAGACATCTGTCACGTAGTGGATAACATTGAGAATCTTCCTGTCTCAGATCACATCACTCAAGAGACCTCTGTATGTGGCAAGTCATCTGTCACAGCTCCAAACAATTCCACCTACTCACCCTTGTAGATCAGTGTTTTCTGATTCAGTTACAGAAAACAAGCTATAGAAGTGTGCGGTTCTCAAACACATGAAGTTTGATGACAAATGCCAATGAGAGTCAAATGCCCTAAGTGGCATTTCCCACCCTCTCTATTATCTCCCTCTCTTAAATCTCGCTTATTCTTGCTTTAAAGAAATGCTTATCCTGGGATGAAGCTCAACATAAAATAAGTCTGAAATACAATTTAGGAAATTCAAGTTTCACTCCATGGCTTCACATTCTTGTCACTGAACTTTGGGTACTGTCGTTCCCTGGGTCTTGCCTGAAATCTTTCTTATTCAATCATCCAGGTTATTTGTAACATAAAAAGGCAACTGCAGAATGTTATTCATTTAAAAAAATTCTCTACACTCTTTCTGGAATAGGATCTCACACATAATCTGCCTTCCATGAACACTTTCACATTCACATTTGTGAAAATATTGTCTGAAAAATTATTATGTACTAAATCAACTTTTATAATTCAAATATATTTTACATGCACAAAGGAAACAAGTAATATTAAAGTATGTCATTTGTAAAAGGAAGACTCCTGAAAAGCAAGTGCTTTTTTCTTAATGTTAATATATTGCAAACTTGTATTAGGTGCAAATCAAGTTCTAAGAAGATTGTTCTGAATTTCTACTTTAATTTCTGAACTACTTGGTATATTCATTCACTTCAAAAGCACTTACTGAACATTAATCTATGGGTTCTAGGTAGGAGATAAATACAACATAGTCCTTACTTTAAAAGTTTAGAGTAAACAAGTCTTTGAGTTTAAAAATAAGTTGTTAAATAAAAATATATCCCATTTAGTTTTTTTAAAAATAATGATGTGTTCAAAGTAGTGGTGTGACTTAAATGAGTCCATTTTTATTATTCCCTTAAATCAATGAAACAAGGAATCTTCTTTCAATGTTATCATTTTGTCTAATTATAGGTAAGTGCACTTAATGAATTAGTATAATTTTGGCTATTTTCCATGACATAGGAGATAAAACCATTTTTACAATTTGTTTCTAAAAAGAGCATGGAGATGAAAATTACAAGTAGCCCTGCTTAAATCAATGAGGAAATATTAGTATCTTCACTTTGTTCCTTCAATTAAAAGGTACAGTGTTTCCTTTTGGTCTGTTTTAAACAAATGTCAGTCCACAGATAAAGGGAGAACTGTGTTAACACTTTGAGACCTCAACAATGACTTAGAATATCTGTATCCTAGAAAAAATAGGTAAAAATTTCGAGGCTAAAAAACAGTAACAACAACAGCAAAACGGCATGGATAATTCTTTTCTGCATTATATCAAGTTAATTTTTGATACATTCTTCTGAGAGCTATTGGGCCTGGATACGGAGTTCAAGGCTCGTATTTCCAGCATGACAATCTCCAAATCAGCAGATGATATCACAATGGACACTGGAGTCTCTCTGCAGGGGCTATCATATTAAACAAAATCTCTGAAATGTATTCAGCCTGTGGGTGATGGCTGGGAGTCTAAAATAACATAAAGTAGAAGTCATTTATTATTTTCTATTAAAAGATCCAATTCAGAAAATCCCTGAACATCTGAACAAGAAATTTGACATTAAGCTGTGCACATTCACTCAGGCCACACATTGATTCATGCCACAAATATTGACTGACTATTTCAGTCTTCCAAGAACTCTTCTAGGTTCATATCATTGTGATGAATTCTGGCCTTTGTTTATTCTACCTTCTAATTGGGGTGGGGGGCAAGCTAATGGGAGGTACTAAGAAGACAAAGCAGTTAAAAGGAAAAGATGTGATAGGGGCTGCTCTTTAGACAAAGTGGACAGGGCAGGCCTCTCAGAAGAGGTGATATTTGAGCAGAGACCCAAATAAAGCAAAGGAGTGAGCCAGGAAGAGCATTGCAAACTGAGGGAAAGGTAAGTGCAAGGGCTTGGGGGTCAGAGCTCGCTTGTATAAGAGAATGGCAAAGAGTCTTGTGGATGAAGCCGAATGGACAATGACATTTACCATCATATTTTCTCTTTGGGAGAGAGTGCAGGGGTCAGAGCATGGCAAGACTGGGATTTTGTTCCAAAAAATGGAAAGATGATGAAGAGATGTGAGAAGAAAAGTAATATGATCTAAATTTTCTTTTCAAAAGGATCCCTCTGGCTGCTGAGTGAAGAGAGGATATTAGGAAGAAAAGTAAGAATAGCAACAAAGAGTCCAGTGTAGGGTAAAAGGGTCTGGAAAGGTGTGATGGGCTTGGACTAGGAAGCGGAGGTACCGAGAAAGGGTAGATTCAAAATATAATTAAGAATGTATTGTGAAGGACAAGATTTGCCAATGGATTGGTATGTGATAAGAAAGAAAAAGATCAGGGATGAAAGGTATATACACACACACACACACACACACACACACACATACACACACACACACACACACACACCATGAGGTAAACTATAGTAGAATGGACTGAAATGGTGAACAGTGGATTAGGAGCTGATTTAGGAAGAAAATCATGCTTTTGTGTGTGTGTGTGGAAATGTCCTTTGGAAATGTTTATTAGATATACAAGTGAAGTAGCATGAGCATCTACTAGGCTGGAGTTAGAAAATAAATGTGAGCAGAATCATCTTACAGTCCTATTTAAAACCATGGTAGTACAGGAAGCTACCGAGGAACTGAGTGTAGGTAAGAAAAGTCCAAAAAGGAGGCCCCTCTCATTCCAACATAGAGAAGTCAGAAAATAGGAGGGTATTCTACAGAATGTCCAATGAGGTAGAGAAAAACCCGGAAGCTGAGCTCTCCTGGAAGCCAGGCGAATAAAGTGTGCCCCAAACGACGGGCGTGCAAGGCGAACAATGCCACTGCGCGGCCGAGCGAGGAGGGCGGGCAGCGGGCTGCCGGGGCCGGATTCGTTTAGGTCTTCGCTGCCTTGACTAGAGCACTGCCTCGGCAGTCCTGCGCGAGAAAGCATGATTCGAGTGAGTTCAAGAGAACGTGAGAGGTGAGGAATTAGAAACAAGTACAATTAAAATTTTTTCCCCTAAAAAGTGAAGCTGAAGATGTGGAAATTATAAATATGAGATGATTAGAATATGTTTAAAAAGCTATTACAGCCTGGGTGTATGTTGATGGGACTGATACAGAAAGAGCAAAACTGGTAACACACGAGATAAAGAATATTTATCTGAAGGAGACATGTGCTTGGAAAGGCCCGAGAGCAGGCGCTGTGGCAGGACGCGAGGCAGTGCGTGCGTACCGGACAGGCGCAGGGAGTGTGTGCAGATTTGATGATGGGATGTACGAATATACTCTTCTGATATTTATTTTTTTTCTCAGTAAAGACAGAAGTAAGGTTTTCTGATGAGAATGAGGAGGGGAAGGGTTTATATAGGTTTGAGAAATGCAAAATGGACCTTGGAAAATGTGAGCCATATTTATATAAATATAATGTGAGACAAATCAGCACGGTGGTCTTTTGCCCTCTGGCTATGTTTAGCTTCTTAGGTTCAGGTTAGAAGTAAACAGACATTGAATTTAGCCAGAGTGGAGTCTCTCCCTCTTTTTTGTTTTTTTCTTCTCGGAAGAGTGCAGTGGTGGAAGAGAAGATGAAGGGATTTGAGAATAGAAATAAGAGAATAATTAGAATGAGGAACCACAGAAGCTAAGCTGGTCAAGGAGGGAAGCAATGATGTGAGGGGATGATAGTGGGAACCTAGCAAAGTCAGTGGCTTGAAGATGCTTTGGAGTACACAGAAATTTCTGGAATGAGGTGCTAAAGGGAGTGACCTGGAGGGAGAAGACGTGCTTCCAAAGAGGTTACTAGGGAGGAAGGAGAAGCAAAGGTCTGGAAGTTGCAGCAAAAAGCAAAGCAAGACCCACGTCTCCTTCAAGGTAGTGACATGCAGATTGTGGGAAGGAAAAATAGCCATCTCTGAGTGAGCTGTAAGGAGAGTGATGTCGTAAGGAAGTAACTGTGCCGTGGAGATTTAGGGGGTGCTGATGACAGCTGTAAGACCTAGAAGGTATAAGGGAAAGGTTGGAGTGCTGAGCGGGTCAGAGTTTGAGCAAATGGGGGGATATGCTGAATGGTATGGGCATAGGCATATAGGTAAAGGCAAATGATATGGGACTTTGGGCTATTTTGGCAACAGGCACTTAAGGATGAGGTCATGATGGCACAACCCTGGGGGTTCCTTTGGTGTGGTATGTAATCAGCTCTAATGAATCATGAGGAAGCAGGGGATGTGTGTGTTCAGAAGAGTGGGCTGGGACAAATATGTTTTCACAAAACAGAGAGTTCAGCAAGAGCCTCCTCAAGCTCAGAGACAACTTCGCTCAAAGCAAATGGTGCCAATTTGATTACTCAGTCAGGCAATTCAGTGTTCTCCTGTTACCGTACTCTTTACTTAAGAAAGGTAACCCTCTCCACAATAGGCTGAAGCAGCTCTATACACAGTCCATAAATAGCATCATCCAGCCCTTTTTAACTTCTCATGAGTTAAACTTTCTACTCCAAGATCTATAGTAGGTCCAGGTTTTGACTTCTTGGGGAACTGTCAGTTTTCTAATTCACTTTGCAGCAAGAGGCCCTTAGCTGGGAAGTTCTAACTTTCAGCTCATTCCCCACTTGTACAACTGAGAAGACCATGAAGAGAATTATAACACAGACTCTTAGGAGCCACAGCTCCAGCACTCTTGTGGTTTGCAAGTTCGAACAAGGCAAAATGTGCCCAGCTCTCCTCACTTTCTTTGAATTAAACAGTAAGTTAAACAGTAGAAACCGCCAGATTCTAAGTGTGTTTTCAAGTCTCACAATGTGAGGATAAGTTGTTCTGCACAGTGTCACCTGGATGGTGCAGACTTAATAGGTCAATTTTATTTCATTGAAAAGGCTCTCCAGGGTCCACACCAAAGGCACTTTGCACATGCTGTTCCACGCACTAAGGAGGCCCTGACTCCACATGGCCACCCTGTCTGATAACTTCCTACTCATCCTTCAGGACTCACATCATAGTCATGACTGCATTGCCTTTTCTAGCCTCATTTTTGTGATCTCTTACTTTCATAGTCGATTATCTCCTGTGGTAATTAGTACTGTAACCTAGCCGAATGCTGGCCTGGCATGTGGAGGATTTCAGCAAATATTCACTAATGATGGTGCTGATATGAGGCGAGACATGTTCACTGGTCCATATCCTTCGATGTTTTCATTATATCTCACCTAGTACTTTTAGTACCCAAAATTGTCTTCAGTGTCCATATGGATAGAGATAATACAGGATAGGTACACATAGGACTTTACACATTATTCTCATGTCATGGATGTAATCGTATTATCTCAGAGTAGAAAGGATGCTTCGGGTTGCCTCTTCCTTGCCATCAAACTCTGGCAGAATCTGGGCAAAAATAAAATTAGGGTTCTTGGGACAGGGACGCAGTTATACCTCCCGCCAGTGAGCATGCTAGTCTTTTGATGCTGGCCAAATTTCTGAGACCAGAACCCTGTTATGTTCTTTAGAAGTGTAAACACCCTTTCTGCAGAAGCAATCTGAAGGCTGACAGCTACCATTTGTTGAACACTTACTATATGCCAGGTACTGTCATACAGGTCATTTATCTTATTCATTTCTTAAAAAAAAACAACAACAAAACAAAACAAAACACTCAGTGAGGAAGAGACACTATTATTATTCTTATTTTATTAAAAGAAACAAATTAAGGCTTACAAATATTATGTAACTTTTCTTAAATTCATATAGCTACACAGTAGAAGAGCTGGGATTTGAATCCAGGGTCTGAATCCAAGAGTTTATGCATGTTCTTTTCTATGATGCTGTTCAGCAGAGTGCAGCTCTGGAATGAAGGAACCCTGAGGGTTGTGGCCAGCACCACAATCTTTCAAATCCTCCTGATTTCCAAGGCGAGATAATTATATCAGTGATTTGAACTACCCTACCTTGGAATGGTCTAATTTTTTAAAAGGAGGCCTCAGCTTTTGAATAAGTAAAAATAAATAAGAATGACATTATTTAAATTCCACGTGGAGTTTTTAGTCATTTCATAATAAAATTACATATAAAAGTGACATTTCTGTTGGCCTGATTTGCTAGCTAATTCTACTTTAAGTGTTCTCTGAAGGATACTCAGCCATATAGTTTGACTAGTAAAATCAATATTATAGACTCAATACTTGTAAGTAAATCCTTTGTTCTGAGCTCATAATTTAAGAATTATTGAGTTAGCAATAATGTAGTTTTAAAGAAGTGTATACAAGGTGTAGCAAATGAATTCTTGACACTATCTAAGTGTCACTTATTTCCAATTTATTCTTATGCCAATTTGTAGTTGCTATTTTCTAGGCTTTTAGCTTAATTAATAGAAGAATTAATATACATGCAGATGGATAAGCTACTCACAGTATCAATTGATTAGAGGTCATCATCACCAAAATTGATAATTAAAATTAATAACAGCATCCCTCCTCATGTTTTGCTAACTCTCCAAATTCATTGCTAACTCTGCACTGGCACTATATGGCATAAAAGTTGGAGGGGAAGAGATTTGAGATCAGTAAGATACAATTCTGATATGTTAAGAAGCTCCATTGATCAGGTGGCAAACACTGGCATAGACACCCCTAAGTATCACAACATCCCTACTTTGTAGGGGTTATCTCCACTGAACAGATGAAAAAACTGAGGCTCAGAGAGGTTAAGCGACTGGTCATTGCTGTGCATCTTGCCTAAGGCATGCTGAGATTCCTCTCCTAGTCTGTCTGGCTCTCAGTTTTCTATGACTTTTCATTTCACTATGCTGCTTCCTAAAGTGCTTCTTATTTGGTAAAGAAAATTATCAGATGTGAGAAAAGCTAAAAGAGATATATGTATATAGGGAGCACAGAAGGTAACTCGCTGCACTGAGATCCTAGGAAGCTTCAGAGGGGAAATGACATCTGATTTGGCTCTAAAAAAAATAGGGTTAGAGTGTGTCAAATTGAAGGAAGGCAGTTGAGATGGACACACAATAGAAGGTGGAAAGTTCCAGAAGCACGCAATGGCATGGCAGGTGTGGGGGAAGTGGGAAAAAATGAGAAGGAAACCTCAGGTCAGAGCCTTATACACTGTAAGAAGGCTCTGAGGGTGAGTGAGTCGTCATCTACTGTGATTGGTAAGGCCAGGGCATGGTCACATGGCAGCTGGCAAAAGGTGAGAGTAGAGGAAAGATACTGGAACACAAGTGGGTAGGGAAGAAACTTTCAACAAAAGATGAGAAACTGATCTAAAATGGGTAAAATAGATAGTACTTAGTGAGTTTAAAGGTGAAGAGAGCTGAGAAAATAAGAATTAACCTTTAGGGAGTCCTTCCGTACACAAGGTTCTGTGCTCAGCCTTAACACAAGCTGCCTCACTGAGACCATGTAACAAGACTATGAGAATAGTATTTGTATTATTTCCATTCTACAGATGAAGAGAATGATGCCAGGAAGATTCAGTAACAGCCAGCAAATTGTAGAAAATATGAAGTAGGCAGTTTGACTGCATACATTTTGTTTTTCATATTACATCAGATAGCTCCCGGACGAGTCCGAGGTTTTGTTAAATGAGTCAGGGACTGGGAAAAGATACAGAGAACTATGAGATCAATTTTGCACATTTTGAGTTTGAATCTCTTAAAGGATGTCCAGGTGAGAGTATCTGGTTAAAGAACTGGGAGGAGAGAGAAAAAGGAACAAAAGATAAAGAAGGTGCCGCCATGCGGACGGTGGCCGACCCTAAGGGATGGCCTACGCATGGCCCTCGAAACCTGTGCACAGTCGCAGCGCAGTGACAGCAATGAGCGCTGTCAGGACGCCTTTCCCCTTGGAAAAAATAAATACACACAAACACACAAATCCCATACACTCAAGTAGTATTTATTTCCGATTATGCCTTCAGTGACTTTTTGGTTTTGTGTGAGATTTATTTGCTTAGCTCCTTAAAAATATTATCTTACTGACATGTAAAGAATTCTTCTCCCAAAACTCTAGCTCCTGAGAAATCCAAGCTTCTCTACAAAGTTATCGTTACTAATGTTCACAATTTTTCAAAATTGGACCTTTAAGCATTCATATCTTAAAATTATTGTGAATGACTGTGTTTCCATAGGGAAGAAAAATACTGTAAACATTAGAAGCAAATGGTTGGTTTGTTTTTCCTGTCTCCTCCTCCTGGCCCTGTTCCCTCCATCACCTCTCTCTTGCAGAACAATGCCCTTCCCGCTGTCACTCAGAGAGAATCCCAGATGACAGCAGAACAGTCAGCCCCAGTGAGAGAAAAACATTACTCTGCGCACACACTCCAGCCGTTTAACCAAGAGGGACACAGGACTACTATTTTGCTGCTGGTGTCCCAAAGTGCAGTTACCTGGGGACAGGGGAGAGGTCTGAGTGGAAGGCAGGTGCTTACGCAATGGCATTGCACGTGTGAGGACAGCGGTTTAGCAAGCATTGTTTCCCAGCTTCCAAATGGCAGGAAGAATTTCTCATGCAACCATGCTGCAGTTACAGAGATTCTGCCCAGAAGGACAGAGTAATTCAGGGCACAACTGGTTAAATACTTTTCTTTCCCACTTCTCTCTCCTCTAAGGTTCATCCTGCATAGAACTGGCAAAGCAGACCAGGGGGCTTGAAAAAGGGGCTTTTTTACAAGGTCCAAAATTTCTTGTGTCAAATCATCTCACAAAGAAAACTGAGCAGTATCTAGGGAAGAATTTAAAGAGCAGTTCAAAGGTTCCTGGTGATTCTACTGTATTTTATAAAATTATTTACATTTATCTTTTTGGTCATTGATAGAGTCTATTGGCACAAACAGCACAGCCACAAAGTATTCTTTTGATTTTAATAACTCATCTTATATATATTTATATATTTTCATATATCTGCTTATCTTCATTTCCTCAGCAAAAAAGGAAATAGAAATATTGATCTATAAAATAAGCTGATGATAACACAATGCCAAAAATAGCTTATGTTAAGTGCAAGGGGTGAAGCTTGAAAGCAAGCTAAATTGCAACAACATATTGATTTAACATTTTAAATACAAGACTTGCAATAAAATAATTTTTGAGATATGCTTTTTTCATTTTTAGTTTACTTTTTAAAAACTACTCTATATACACATATCCAGTTGTAACACTTGACAGTAGCATATGGGGCATGGTATAACTTTGGTACATGTTGCAGATATGAATGGTAAATGTCTGTAAATGATATTCCTTCACCAGTTAGAGCACTGTACAGCCAGGTGACCAGCCACCTGATCCCATGTAATTTTCCCATGGAACCCCCAGAGTCCTTCCCAGATCCACCAGAGACAGCGGGAGAAAGCAGGCTCACTGAATCCATATTGTGTTTCCTCTCTCGGTTCTCCGCGGTTCCACTGTCAGCTCCCCAAACGTGGAGAAAAACTGCTCCATTTCTTTCTGAAGCATGTCATTTCTTTTCTCAGCATCTTCTTTTGCACGCTCTGCATTCCGCATTTTGATTTCTATCATTGTGAACTTCTTCCTTTCCTGATCCAGTTCATCGTGGAGGCTCATCATTTCTGTTTCCAAAGTCAAATTTCGCTGTTCTAAGCTACAAAGGGTGGGGGAGGGAACACAAGAGAACGAGATCTTATTCACCTGCAATGCAAGAGGGCTACAAATGTTTTCTAAACTCTGTGTCTGCAATGCTTAGGAAATTGGACTGAATCCTGTCAATTCAGTGAAGCGTTTTGGTTTTGTTTGTTTGATTTTACTATTTGCTAAGATGATTTACTATCTATCATTTGAACGAGAAGACCTCAAGACCTCTCTTAGAAGTACGTAGCTGTCACTGATAGTGAATGTATTAAGTGCCGGCAAAGAAGAGCCAAAGAACCAATGTTATGTAGCACAGAATGGCAGAAGCGAAAGGCAGCCAAAACCACAAGGCTTTCTGGATCATTAACTATAAATTGGGCTTTACTAAAAGAAAGGGAGAAAGCTCAGCGAAGTTGGGAGAAAAGGAAACTATCACACTTGTTTTCTATCAGGGGAAAGAAAATGATAATGAAAATATTGTTAAAGTCCACTACTAAAAATAAACTTCTCTGAGGCATAAGGAGTCTCATCTTGTAAAAGTGGTACCAAAAGCAGCCACCTTACATGGACAAGAGTGGGAGAGATTATATGTGGTGGATAAGTAACCCACCTGACATTTTCTGACAGTGGAGTCCACCAAAGTAACTTGCTGCTATCTGTAATCCTCACTACTTTCCAAGTTAATGTATCTTAGAATCTCTAGACTTATATTTCTATAGATTGATAGCTATATCCATTTGGATATACTGTATAATTTTAGGTAGCTTCCTTGAAAACAGAGTTTTGTCCATAATCATTAAGTTACAAAACATAATATGTTGTTGTTCAAAGAAGAGTATTAAACACTTGTTTATTATAAGATGAATCTTGATAATAGTTGACTTTTTAATCTCTCCTCTTCTGAGCTAATGTCCTCAGGGTGTGTTTGAAGTTACCATACCACTGAAATTTGAAAGGCTAATCTGATTATTTTAATAACAATTTTAAAACCTAAAACCTCAATTATTTTTGTTTTGAAATAAGTCTCACATGTTGATATTTCATCTAGATAATAATAATAACACAAAATAACACTATCTTTTGCAATTAACTAGGATTAAAAAATATTCTCCATATTCTATAATCAGTTTAGAAGGCTATTTTTATCACAGGACCACATTTTTATATAACAACATAGCAGTATGGTGGTTGCAACCCAGAATTATTCTACAATATATTCTCTTCATTTTCTAAAGCTATTTATTTTAGAACTAAAAGTGAAAACAGTCCTTTCAGCAATATTGATACATGTGGTTGTATCAGGTACTTGTGTGAAACTTCTAGGGCTCTAATGGACTGAGTTGAATACAGAAGGGAATACCTCCTGAAAACACATAATGATGCTGAAAAAATATATACAAAACTTTAAAAATATATAGCCAAGGTTAAAATAAATAAAAGAGCATCTTCAAGTATCATAACCAAGAAAGACACTCCAATTTAGAACACTAAGTGGAAGCACAAAAAAGGGTATTGATCCTAGATAGACGACTGAGGTGGAAACTAGTTTTGCTTTTTTATTTTTTAGGTTTTTCCTATGGGGAATAAAAGCTCTCCAGCGTAAGAGAGAAAGAAAGCCAAAAGTGATTCAACTGAAAGCTTATAACATCAATTAGTCTTTATAAAAAAGCAACCACAAAATCTCTACTCATGGGCTAAATGAAGTATCAGAATTGAATCAGCAGAAGAAAAAGAATCAATCTTAGCAAAATATTTTTAGATATATCTCTTTAAGCAAAAGCAACACAAGCAAAAATAAACAAATAGAACCACATCAAACTTAAAATTTTTTGCACAGTGAAGGAAGCCATCAACAAGAATAAAAGGCAACATACTGAATGGAAGAAATATTTTCAAATGATATATCTGACAAGGGGTTAATGTCTAAAACATACAAAAACTCATACAATTCAACATGGAACTCAGGGATACGTACAACAGTGTGGTGATTGTAGAGCGGTGGGGGGTGGGTGGAGGGGGAGAGGATATCAGGAGGATAAATGGTAATGGGAAAAAAAAGTAAAAAGTAAACTAGTAAAAAAAAATCAGAAAAGTAAACAATCCAATTAAAAAAATGGGCAGACCTGAATCAACATGTCTACAAAGAAGATGTATATGTTGTCAACAGGCACATGAAAAGATGCTCAGCATCACTAAACATCAGGCAAATGTGAATCAAAATCACAATGAGATACTTCCTTACACCTATAGAATGGCTACTATCAAAAAGACAACAACTAACAATCTAGAGGAAAGGGAACATTTATGCATTGTTGGTAAGATTATAAATTGGGTACAGCCACTATGGGAAACAATATGGAGATTCCTCAATTAAAAATAGAATGACTTTATCACACAGCAATTCTACTTCTGGTTATTTATCTGAAAAAAAAGAAAAACAATAATTTGAAAAGATATATGTGCCCTTATACTCATTGCAGTATCGTTTACAATAGTCAAGATATAGAAGCAATGTAGGTGTCCATTGATAAATGAATGGATAAAGAAGATGCTGTACATATATAAAATGGAATATGACTCAGCCATAAAAAATAAAGAAATCTTTCCATTTGCAACAACATGGATCAACCTAGATTGTATTATGTTGAATGAAATAAGTTGGACAGGTAAAGACAAATGGCACATGTTTTACTTATATTGGAATCTAAAAAGCTAAACAACTGAATGAACAAAATGAAACAAGCAAACTCATAGACACAGAGAACAAACTGATGATTTTCTGAGGGGAGAAGGGTGAAGGCAGAAGGAATCGGGGAAGAGGATTAAAAAGTACAAACTTCAGTTCTAAAATAAGTCACAGGGATATAAAGCACAAGGATTATAGTCAATAATATCATAATAACTATGTATTGTGACAGATATTTACTAGACATTGCGGCACTCACTTTGTAAGGTATATAAATGTTGGATCACTGTGATGTACACCTGAAACTAATATAACATTTTATGTTAACTCCAATTAAAAATAAATCTTAAAAACAAAAAAAAAAATAGTAAACTGGGAAACGGGTCTCAGAAAAATTACCCAGAATGCCTCACAGAATGAGAAAGATAGAAATTTAATAGAAGAAAAAGAAGTTAACAGAGAGGGAACATAGATTAAGAAGGTCCAACATACTTTAATAAGGGTTGTAGAAACAGAAATTTGAAAAAATGGGGGAGATGAATTAAACAAAAGGTGATAGATACAAATATTCCATAATTGAAAAATATATCAGCTCTCAGATCAAATAAACATAAAGGCTGAAAGTTCATGGAAAAGATATAGCAGTAAGTTATTAATTAAAATAAAAATGGCATAGCAATATTAATATCAGAAAGAATAGACTTTCAGGCAAAATGCATTTTTACAATTAAAGAAGACCATTACTTGATGATAAAAGGATCAGTTCATCAGGTATATAATTAACTCTGAACTTTTATTCACCTAGAAGTGTAGCTTCAAATTATTCAATATAAAATATAATAGAATTATAAGGAGAAATTGATAAATCCATAAAAGTTAAGACAGTTTAAAGTACCTTTGTTAGAAATTACAGATCTACCTGATTAAAAAAGAGGAGAAATGTGCCCCGGCTGGTGTGGCTCAGTGGACTGCGTGCCGGCCTGAGAACCAAGGGGTTGCCGGCTTGAATCCCAGCCAGGGCACATGCCTGGGTTGCAGGCCAGGTCCCCAGTGTGGGGCATGTGAGAGGCAGCCACGCATTGATGTTTCTCTCGCTCCCTTTCTCCCACCCTTCCCCTCTCTGTAAAAATAAATAAATAAATAAAATCTTAAAAAAAAAAAATTGGAGGAAATGTAAAAGATTTAAACAGCCTGATGAACAGATTTGACCTATTGGTCATTTATAAAATCCCAAACCAATAAGAAAAAAATAAATAGTTTTTACAAGATCAAATAATTGATATCATAAAAATAAATTTCTCTGACTATACTACAATAAAGGAAGACATTTATGGGGCAGGGAGAACACTAAACTTACATATTTAAAAACTAAAAGACATATATCAGTGACTGATAAAGTAAAACATTATCTATCATCCATTAAGCTATGTATGTATGTACCTATGTGTGTACCTATGTACACATCATTTATCTAACTAACCTCAAGACTTGTGGGTGGGGTTAAAAAGGATTTTAAAGAGAAATGTCTAACTCCAAATAGGAGTTTCTGTGGCTTGGGCATGCGGCAGCTCCTCTGCCCCACTTTATTGTGAACCTCTCTCTCTGCCTGTAAGGTGTTAAGAATGCTACAGTGAAAGGACCCGGTGAGACGACACTCTATCGAGAAGTTCCATTGTTTTATCAAAGTCTCTGAAAGGCACCATAGACTCAGAACATAAATGTATTACCGATGTTCTCATAAATGAACATATTCATCTGCAGGCATTCAGAATAACTTATTTCTTACCCTAATGCAAGTTTCAACTGTTATATCTTGTTTCCCAGTGCTAAGTGCTAATTTATCATCATACACTGGCAGCAATTTAGAGTTCTGGGAGCCCCTGGTCCTAAAAACAATATTCAGATGCCATTTTTCTTTTTATTTAAACCTACTCTTACTCGGCATTATATAGAAAAATTCAAACAAGTGAAGTTTACAAAAACTACTTTCTAATTAATTTTCCAATCTAACATACAAATAACATTTTATTTTATATTTTCCATAGTTCTTAAAAATATGTGTCTTTGGCCTGATAATAAATGGATGGGAAACAATTAAATAAAGTCAACTCTCTATATAAAAGAAAACCTGTGGGGTTTGGAGCCATAGAAGCAGTAAAGCAGGACAAATCCTGATGTGCACAAATGGGAAGGGTAGCAGGGCACCCGCGCAGGAGTTGGTCACTGCAACACACAGCCTGGGCCTGGGGCCGAGAGCCCTGCACAGGCCCCCTTGTGCTGAACTGGGCCTCAGGCCTTCTCCTGACTTGGGAGTCCAGTGTTGTTTCCCCTAAACTGTGCTGAAAGGAGAACATAAAAAAAAAAACCCAAAACAAAACAACAACAACAAAAAAACCAGCTTTGCCATTTCTGTGACCTCAGTGAAATGTGGGTGTGGTGACTTTCAGCTTTTCAGTACAAGGTTACATGTGTGAGTTCTGGGCCCCATCCTCGGAATCCCTGCCTCTTCAGTCCACGGACTATCTGATAGTCAGGGGCGCTGTGAACACAGGACGCTGAGCCAGTGCCCCTTATCTTGCCCGGTTGCTTTCCCGGAGAAGTTGCTAAGTAACTTCCTTCCTATCTTGGCCACCTTATCAGAATATGTAAACTGACATAAATTAGGTTTTAGCATAGCTGTTTCCTTATAAATCATAGCTTTTGCTTCCCATTCAGGCTACAGTTTTTCTTGTCCACGTGAATACACTTCATGTCATCACCTTTCTCAAAAGATTCCCATGGATTCCAATCTCAGAGCAAAAGCCAACGACTTAATCTGATCTCCAAGGTCCTGTCACCTGTTCCTTGTTAGGTCCCTGAGCTCGTAGCCCAGCCCATGTCATGGCATTTCCACTTGCTCATCTGCCAGGCATCTGAACAGCTTCCCTTTTAACCTGCCATAAGGCCGTACGCTCAAAATTACATGCCAACAACGCTTCCTACCCCTCCTCCCGCTTTAGTCTTCTACTTAGCATAGGACCTATTTTACTTGTATCTGTCTTCTCCGGTAGTGTGGATGCGCATTCTGTGAGGGCCGAGTTTGCTGATCCTCGGGACCTGGAACTGAGCCTGGCAGATAGTGGACACTCTCTCAGCATTCAACAATTGAAATAATTTTAAAAAAGGCCTGTTTATTTCTATAACTTTTCTTTACCCTCGCTTCATCCTTTTCCTGCCAGCGAAAACAGGCTCCTTATCGTCCATATGTCCCCTCACTGCTCATCTCTAACCAGTCTCTAGAATGAAGTCACATACCATTATTGGGCATGTCTTCTGTGCCAGGGACAGTGCTAAATTATTTTTACATGCTTTTGAGATAACTACTACTCACATTTAAATTTTTCACATTAAGAAACCAAGGCTCACAGAGATAGAGCGAACTTTCCCGAAGTCCCACGGCTTCCAAAGGGTAAAACGAGGACATGAATAGGGTCTCTGGTTCTGGGACTAGCTTTTTTAACGCTGTGTGAGCCTGTCCCACAGTGGGAGGTTCTCTGGCAGTTAGGGCCCCCAGATTTTCCTCACCTCTTTATCTTGGACTCATACTCTATCTTCTGTTTGGTCATTTCCTGTTTCAGGCTGGACACTAAACTGTGCAGTGCACTGTGGTTGCTGGTGTTGTTTCCCACAAACGTCTCACTGTTGTCACTGCTGCTGGTGGCACGACTACTTCGACCTCCCACACTCCTCCTGTCACTTTTGTTTTCATAGTCCCCAGGATGGGAAAGATCGTCTTGCGGGGGCCCATCCAAAACAGGGTCCTCAAAGTTCCCACCATAAAAGTCTTGTTCTGGGCAGGTGGTTGTAGAGGAGCGACAGGAGTTGGAGTTCTCAGGGAGGGAGATTTCACAGGAGGAAGTGGACCAGGTGGCACTGTCAACACTCTGTTTGTCATCAAGGTTCATCATGGAGAACTGCTGATGGACGTTATCATAGGTGGAGAGCCTGTTGTGCTGGCCTGACTCTCCTGTCTGCTCTTTCTGCTTGTTATCTCTCAGGGTCACATAGCCATTGGGCAGCCAGGTCATGCTGCGACCATTCATGGGGTTCCCAAGTGAGTCGGTGTTTAAAATGCCCATTCTCACTGTTCCGTTCTGTACACTGTGGGTGCCCATTTTGGTACCAGACCCCTTCAGTGAAGAGGTCCTTCTGGCCTGTAAGCTCCCATTGGGAGTAGTTTGGGTTTTCTCAAGACCTTCTGCATTGCTGCTGCTGAAGGATCCATTGGTGACAATCCCACTGCCCTTATTGAAGGCGGGATTCTTTTTGACCATAAGAGGGGGACTCCTAGAAACATCCAGCTTATGGACACTGTTCCTTGGGCTGTTAGTTTTGCTGCCTGACAGAGCTGTGGGGGATCCATTATCTACACTGCTTCTCTGGGGAGACTCGGGCTTCTCCCAAGAGCACCGCCTAATAGGACTGTCCTTGGTATTATTGTTCTCCTTGTTCTGTAGCTGACCCATGGTGGTTTTCTTCTGCATTTCATTGTTGTTGTTGCTCACTCCATCTTGGGGCTTGCTTTGCAGTTCTGCATCTTTGGGGAAGAGGTGATCATGTTTGCCAATCATCACTGACATCAATTGCTGGACTACCACGGTGCCTGAAATTGCATAGAAAACAAAGTCGTATGAGTGAAGTAGTTTCGATTTACTTCCCATTTTGAAAGTGACTCTTAAATAACCACATTCAGGTGAACATTCAGCATTATTAGTATTGCTAAGCTCTATTCTTAATGATGATAATGGCAATAAAGGCTAAAATTTCTTGAGAATTTACTATGTGCTATGAACTCTACTAAGCACTTTGCTTTTGTTAGTTTACTTGGATTTTAAAATAAACCTATAAATAGCTACTGTCATTGTTCTGTAAATTTTAAATAACTTGACTACGGTTACAAAGCTATTAAGGAGCAGACTTGGGGTTTGAACCTAGAGTTAGCTAGTTCCAAAGACCGGGCTCTTGATCATTTTACAACATTTCTTGCAAGTTTGACATTTATTTATGAGAAATATTCCTCAGGAGGATGTCACTGTGACCTCTCATTGACAATGACCTCAAACCATCAAGACCTTTTAGTGGCTTCTCTATGTGGAAACCAATACAATCTCTAATGGATACATGGCCTGTCTTTCTAACATATCACAGCAATAAAGTTCCATATGACTTTTTCACTTTTCAAAAGCCTCAGAGCATTTTAAGTGGCATTAACCAGAAAGGTTTAATAAGGACCTCCAAAAATCCTCTCATCCATAAAAGCAACTGACAAAAAATGCCCTGAATCAACATTTTTAGAAGTCTGGAAGTTAACCAAAGGCTTAGAGCAATCTGGAGATTGTTCACTCAAGAAAAATGGTTGAATCCCAGTAAGAACAGCAAGCTCTGAGGTTTTTTAACTTTCCCTGTTCCCATCTGTCTCTCCCTAGCTTTGCAGTTGCCTTGAAAACCAACATCTGGCCATCACAGTGGGCACCCACAGTCTGGAAGCCCCTGGAATAGGCAGAACATGGTTAAAACTCCTTTGAAGCTCTGTTACTACAGCACTGTCATTGTTTGGTGGTTGCCTATTTAGTGGTTGCCTGGAAGACGCCACTAATGAGGCTTGTCTCATTTTGTTTGATTAGGAAGGTGTCCGGTGTGAACAGCACTTTTCTCAGGGGTACACTTGAAAAGTATAATGTGGGGCTCTTTTGTTTAACGTCATGGCTGCCTGAAGCAACAGATAACAGTTGGAACAAACAACAGGCTAACCAAAAAGCTTTTAAAAAAGTCTAAGAAATGAAATTTCCATGGGAGGTTTTGAAAAGCACTGATCCATTCCTGGAAATCTAGGGGAGGACATGGATGCTTATAATTATGTGCAAGCCCAGGGCTGTGGACATGTTCAGGAAAAAATGGAGACATCCCCTGGCCTCTTCCCTCTGGCTGGACTTGAGGCTCTGCACAAGCCAGAACCAGAGGCCAAGGCAGAGTCATAAACTGCCTGGCTGAGTGTGAAAGGTTTGCCTTAACATGCACATAAAGCCCCTTGGTAAAAAAAAAAAAAAAAAAAAAAAAAAAAGGGACTTACTGGCTCTAGACATTTTAGGAAATCTTTGCCTAAACATTAGCTGATAACTAAGCAAACTAAGTAGAGACTTCAATGACCATATATGGCAAAGAATATAGGCATAGCTGAAGATATGTCAATTGACATTACCCAATCTGAGAAACACAAAGACAAAAGAATGAAGAAACTTGAACAGAGCCTCAGAGACCTGTGGGACATCACTAGGTATATCAGCATATGCACGATGGTAGTCCCGAGAAGGATAGTAAAAGAGAATTGAAGAGAAAGAATATTTCAGGAAATAGTTACTGGGATCAACCCAATTTGAAGGAAAACCTGAATCTATACATCCAAGAAGCTCATCAAATTCCAAGCAAGGTCAATGCTTGGATCAACACTTAGAACTATCATCATCCAGCTGTCTTAAACCAAAAACAAAGACAGAACCTTGAAAGCCCAAGAGAGAAGCAACTCATGTACAAGGACTCCTCATGTACTGAGGAGTAAGATAGTGCTTTCTCATTGTCAGAGGCAATGGGATGAAATATTCAAAATGCTGAAAGAAATACCATCAAGTAATAATTCTATATCTAGCAAACCCATGCTTCAGAAATGGAGAAGAAATATAGACATTCCTAGATAAACATAAAGAGAGAGAGAGAGAGAGAGATCCGTCACTAGTAAATCTGTTCCATAAGGAACACCAAACTTCAGTGCATTTTAAAGAAAGAGAAGATCTACAAGAAAGAAAGTAAAATCCTTTACACAAATGAAAATACTATGGTTCCCATTTGATCTCATATTTTTACTATCACTGTAAAGTATGAATTAGAAAATAAACCAAGTTTCAGACAGTAATAATAGCTTGAACACAGTGAATAAAAAGCTAATTTGTTATTGAAAACAGTAATTTATTTTTAAATTAATGGATTTATCAGGTTAATGGCATATTAGCTAAAATCCCAAAATGCACTTTTACATATTCCTCACTTACAATATGGGCTCCAGTCCCTTAAAACTGGCCGACACCATTAACTAGGCTTCTAAACTAGTTTCCCAACTTGGGGACCCCAATTTCCCTAACAATATTTTTAAGTATTAATTTTATTCATGTAATGAAGCAGTATAGGCTAATGCCAGTATCAGTCATCTTTACTTTGGCTTGAACTGTACTAATTTGGTGTGTTAACTTGGTTTATAACATGTTGATAAGAGTTCATAAGAGTAATCTCTGAAAAAATACATATAGAGAAACAATTTAAATGTTAGTAAATATAGTTTCTACATAAAATACTTAAAACATGAGATTCGGCGAGGAAGATGATGGCAAGGGCTGTTGACAATGCTGGTTTCTATGGAAACAGCTGCTAATCAAGTGCCTGTTGAGAGTCCAAGCCTGACCCAAGGCAAGGCCATTCTTTAGCTGAAAGCAACACCTAGGCAAGATTTGACTCGGAATATAATTCACATCAAATTGTGAATAGGAAAAAATGTGTTATATCTATGAATCTCCCACGTGCCAGGTCTAATGCTAGGTTGATGTTGATTAAACATTAATATTTAAACAAATTACCTGAAGATTCTGTCAAAATGTAGGTAATGGATGGGGCACAAGATTTTATATTCCTAACAAGCTCCAGACGACAACATTCCAGCAATAACAGAACAGTAGCCCTGGCATCACCTGGAAGCTTCAAAATTTCAGGACCGACTACAGGCCTCCTGAGTCAGAATTTGCATGAGAGTTTGAGAAACATTGTGTTACATGGAAAGGTCTCACATCTTCTAAATCAAGTTTTTGAAAAGACTGTGAGATAGGACTTAACATTTTTTCACGTGAGAAAACAGGTTCAGACAGGTTAAGCTTTCACTCAGGGCCACACAGATGATGGGACCAAGGTGAAGTCTGATGCTTCATTTTCTTACTCCAAATCATGTTCTTATCCTACTATATTTTAGCTTTGGGTTTAAACTGTAGTAATAATAAACTTGATGTTTTTCTAAATAAGAAACTAAATACAAGACAACGATCTATTGAATTTATTGAAGAAAAAAACCTGAATGAAATTAATGGTATTATGTAGCTGTCCTTTCTCTGTGAGTAATCTCTGAATATATCATCCTATTTTCAATGCATGTAGCAGTGAATCTGATGAAAAGATTTGGTATCGTTAAAATGGCTGTCAACATTGTCACCATTATGTACCGCGTTTGAAGACATGTCTACGCAGTTCTATTTTACTATTTGCCCTAAGACAGATATATTTTCAAATGTTAGCAGCTTCTATTATATATAACTCTGTCTAGTACTTGGGGGAAATGGAACTTTTTCCCACCATTGGAATATTAACATTTGAAGCATCACTGCTTCCCATCATAGCGATGAACTGTGTGGGGCATTTAACTACTTGAATAGTGACATCCCCAAGGTCTCCATGATGAGTCTGTGAATAGCAATGCCAAAGTGCACCTGCCACAAGTATAGAGTGAGTGTCAGCATCCTAGAGATTTAGAAATCTCTCTATCTTGGGAGGCTTTGCCCTTATCTAGCATCCAGGATAATAAATGGCAATAGTTTCTTGTAAAGCAATTTTCTTTCAATTTTTATGGCCATTTGGGACAGACTAGCTTGGTAGTTATAATGAAGTGTGTGTCATTATGTGCACTTAGTTTTCCTTTTTATTCCTTCCTTTCTGTCATTCTCTTCCTTAGAATGTAAATGAGAAACATGAAACCCAAATAATGAGGTCAGAGCAGTTATAATCACCGCCCCTTTCTGAAGAGTCCAAGCAGAGTCAGCAGTGGTAGTGTGTGGCATGGTCCGGCCGCTCCACCACTCATATAATTTGATGCAGGCTAAACTTAAATACCATCTTAGGCATTTTTCTTCATAAGCATTGGATAAGAATTCAATCTTCCTTTAAAGATATCTAGAAACTTTAGAGAACACCGATATACACATAAATAGTATATAGTTAGTATATATACATATATATGGCAGCAGTCTATGAAATGTAGTTTTCAAGTTTTTATTTTTTGCAAAGAATAACCTTTGCATGTCATTTTGCCAGTGTGCAGGCATCTGTAAGATGCATAGTGATTTTTGACAAATGACAGTCCTGGAAATACCACATTATCATAATATTGAAAATTTCCTTGTGTCTTTTGTGGGTGGTCCCTCACTCCCACCTCCCACCTATGGCCACCGCTGATCTGCTTTTTGTCACTAAGTTTTTCCTTTCCTAGAATTTCATATAAGTAAAATTATACAGTATGAGGTATTTTGTGTCTAGGCATATTTACTTAGCATAATACTTTTGGCCTTTGTCCATGTTGTTGCATGTATTGGTAGTTCATCCTTTTCATTGCTGAGCAGTTCAGTTCTATGTATGCACCATGGAATTGAGACCTTTCATGATTCAAACAAATTAGAACAACAAATGAGATTACTTTGCTGCTCCATTTCCTCCTACTTAAAAAAAAAAGGAAAATACAAAAAACTATTTTGTCTACTTATGTACCTACTACTTCCACATATTACCACTGTATTTAGA